TTTCTGGTTCTCTGGTTTACGACACCCTTTGAGTTTTCTGTGAAGCTGTATATTTAAAATAGAGGTGTGTTTGGAAACAGGTTCAGACTGTTGACAGGTAGATATCCAAGTGTAAAAATAAACTGATAGAAAACTAGACATAGGCTTTTGCAGCACTGTTCTGAAATTTCAACTTTGGAGAAAGAATCAAAAGAAAAGTTGGAACTCATTTGGACTTGCTGCCCTTTGAAAATATTTTTTTAAATGAATGTTATCAAAGTCAGGAGCTTTTAAGACTAATGTAATAAGAAATAACATATTAACGTATTTTAAAAAAACACATGCCTAAGACTGGTAAGTGGTTATGTAATGATTGAGGCTGAAACAACCATTATCTCATGTTTCTTTTAAGGCTACATCATACTGTGATGTCACATACTTTTGAAGTTGTAGGAAAGCTCTTCCTGGACAGGTGTAGGATGAAGGTAGTAGCAATAAAAATACTATTTGTGTGAAAAACTAATATGGAATATTAATATAGTCTAATACAGTGTTACTATTATAATTCTCTTCTTAAGTCTACCTTTAGGTAGAATCTGTTTTGGTGTTGTTTGTGAAGCTGTCAAAAGTAGGAGAGAAATGAAATGTTAATATATCTTTTCACTGGATTAGAAAAGCATTGACCAAGGTTTGTAATGTGTTCTCTCAAGGGTTTAGGTGATAATTTTCAGTAAATCTGTACAAGCTGCAATGCTGCAGTAGGAAACAGATTTATAACAGTGTTTTTTCCTTTAATTTTTGACTGGTCCATATTAAAATTAGCACAAATAGTGGTTGTTTTTTTGTTTTCTTTTTTGGAAAGAAAGTCTATTGAAGTGGTCCTGGACAGTGTTTTTTCCTTTAATTTTTGACTGGTCCATATTAAAATTAGCACAAATAGTGGTTGTTTTTTTTTTTCTTTTTTGGAAAGAAACTCTATTGAAATGGTCCTGGCTGGTAACAATTAAATGTTTTGGTACTACTTCAGTGCAGGTGTATTTGACCTTTTTTCTTGTTTTCAGGGCGAGGATTTGCATTTCAGAGAAAACAAAAGATCCAGAGACAATACAGGAAATTATTGAAAAAGGGAAGAAAAGTCCATTCACAACAGGATAATCAGTTTATGGATACTTATCCAGAACACTTGAAACATCTTTACCTAGCAGAGGAAGAAATGCTTAAGAAACGGCGCAGGGCTCCAGATGATTCATTTTTATCAGAAGAAAAACTTAATAAAGCAGTAGAGTAAGTTTCTGAAATATGTCTCTAAAAACAAGTAATTGTTTCCATTGTTAAAGAAATATTTTAAATCTTACGCCTTACATGGACTTCTGCATAGTCATTTGTTTTACTAAAAAATGCCATTGGGTCTTAAATGTTTTTTGTAATTTTTAGAATATTTAAACATACAGCTTTGTTGTGTTTGCGTTGGAATCAGAGAGCAAGGTTGATGAGGTTTAGGGCTTGATTCCATGGGAATAGGATGACAGTTACCACTGTAATTTAAGGATAGGGTTCAGCCCAAGAGCAGTAAGTGATGAAAAATTTCTTACCATGTCTACAAAGATAAGAGCCTGCTTTTCAGGTAGTGTGCTTTTGAGTTTGCAGAGTTTTCCATTGAATTGATTCTCAGTATTTTTAGATTGATGTCACTTTTCAGGAACACTTCTTGCGTTATCTTTCTGTTCCCGGTTTGGTAAGTTGTTTTCTTCATATTGCAGTGTTTTTCTGCTAGAATGAGCAATATTGTGTGAAGTTTCCCTTTTTCAGTATGGCTAGTTTGGAGGAGATTTTAATTATGAACTGAAAAAAAAAAGAAATGGAGTTTGTAGTAAAACCTTAAGTCAGTAAGGTGCTCTTGATCAGAGTAATAATAGAGATGTCATCATAGTTTGCTAGTGCTGTTTGGTGATTTGGTTTTGTTTGTTTTATTTTAAATTTACTTGTACTAACTGGGAGAAGTCAAATGGCACTTGTGGTCTAACAAATGTCAGACAACTTAAACCATTTTTTTCTGTGTGACAATAATTTCCCCTGAAATCTTGGTTAGGTGTGTCAGTAAATTGAAAAGCAGTAGTCACTCGGCTCTAACAGTGTCATGGCAATGTTTTCAAACAGCGCTCACGTACAGTGATTGTTATAATGCTTTTTTTATCCCCAGTACAAGGTGTGTCATAAGTCTTTGAATTCCAAGGTGTATCTACATCTAAATTTTCCTGGGAAGAATGCTTGGGAGAGGGGGGAAAGGCAATCAGATCTAAGCCCAGCAGTGGGAGAGAGGTAGAGTTTTGTCTGGAATAGGCAGCTAATTCGTGGGGATGTCCAAAATAGTACTGGTGTTTTTTCTTTAAACCAGAGGGGTTTTTTAGTTTTGCTTAAATTTTGGTCATTGTGATTGTGAACCAGAATTAATAACTCTGCAGAAATGTAACTGCTAATCTGTGAGGGGTTGTGATTCATAGAGTCTATTAGGTAGACTTCAGTGTTCTATGGAGATTTAAAATAGGACTTCGGTTAGGTAATTCTGTTTTTAGCGTATATTGCAATTTAAGTTTTGTACTTGAGGCGATGAGGCGACATTGCACATTATTGCCACAAGATGGAGATGACAGTAAAGCAAAGGTGGTTTTATTTTCTCTAGAAGAGAGTGGTATTTGTAAATGAAAGTATGAGCAAATACCTTTTCTCTCCTTTCTGATCGTCTGTCTGAAATCTCCCAGGTGATGATGGTGGATAATTTTCAATTTTTTTTTAGTGTGAGTAATAGAGTAATCAAAAACTTATTTTGTGAACAGTTATTAAGCATCTAGCAAGGCTTATACTTCCCAAGTCTGAAACATCTTTGCTACCACACTGTTTTATGTAATGGCTTTATTGTGAATCAGAAAAAATAATTTGGAACTAAATAACCAGAAAAATGCACTAAAAGTAGTATGGCCATAAATTGCAGGCAAATAGCACTGCTGTTCTTGTACTGTTTTCTTTGGTGAAAGATACCTGAGCAGTTTTTGAAATTTGGAAGGAACTTAATTTCTGTTTGTAATTTCAGAACATTGGGGACAATAATATGCCATCTCCTTCAAGAAGACACTTCGAAAGGCATTGTTACTACCATGCTTTTTCACCTTGCCATGTCAGCCTGACTTCTCTGGCAGGCAGTCTGCTAACAGCTGGCTGTCCTCATATCTCTGCCATTGCATCCATATGTCAGAACTAGAAAGCAATAATACAGCTCAAAGCTAGTGCCTTCAGTTTTCCTAGCTCTAAAGGGCTTGTACGGTGGGGAAACTTCCCCCACCTTCTTTTAGGCACTCTTTAAATAAAATCATCCATGTGACGATCCAACAGATAAGTTATATGTGTTACTAAAAGTTGTGTGCAGTCTAGTCTTCAGTACGCTCGGCATAGGAGGGGTTTAGTTTGCTGTGTTTTCATGCTAGCTGCTCATTAGATTACATGTAAAGCAATGGAAGAGTGGAAGACTGTATTCTGATTCTGCAGTGCCTGAGGGTTATATGGTTATGTCCGCTTGGTGATACTCCGTATCTGAAATACATGTACTTTTTCTTATAGGTCGGTTATGACTGAAGAGAAGTATAAGAAGAAAACATCCAATCAGAAGGCAAAAGAAGAGTATGAGAAAATAAAGGCTGAGCATGCTAGAAAGAAAGAGGTAAATCTTAAATGGAGACCTTTCTTGATTGTAGACAAAAGACTAATACGATTAATTAGTTAATACTGTTTCTACCTGTCAGTCTTCCATCTGGACCCAAATAGGACCACAGATTTTGGTATTGTTTCAGTCTTTTTCATCTTGACAGTAATACTCAGGCATACAGGTGTTCAAAGTTATAATTCTCTTTGTTCTTACTATTTTTGTCTTGCAGTTGCTGTTAGTGGGATTTTATTAGGTCAGTTGATACATCAAGAAAAACCTAAAGCTTGATCTGCATATCCCAGTGGATTATACTAGATTTCTTAAATATTTTGCAGGGTGTAGTAATAACAATACCATCATCTTGTGATAAAAAATGAAATATCCATCCTAATTCTTATGGTGTTATAATAATGCTGTCTTCATTTTACCTTTTTATGTACTTTGACCAACAGTGAGACGATTAAATGTAATAGTATCCACTGCCAAAATCTTTAGTCATTTTTTTCCTCATTCTAATTTGATGGGACTTATTCTTACAGGTCTTAATATTATCATTGTTGAATAATTCAGCTGAGTTATTAATCTGAGACATCCTTATTTGACTAGTTCTGTTCTTTCCCAGTACATTGATTGTTGCACTATAAAATGGCACACGTTGTAACATTGTCGAAGTTGTATAACTGACTGCACACAAACTAAATTTTAGTGACTGCTGTATAAATATTACATAAATAAATAACTTGGTAAAATATTTCTTCAGTTTAGCTGAAGAACTCTGGTTCAACTCTGGTTGAAAACTAGAGTGGTTTTGTGCAATTGATCTGTGATTCTGGATGAGTTACATGGTTTGTTCAGCTGGGGGTTTTTTTTTGCATATTAAGTACAGATCGTGCTAGAAGAAGTGAGTGATATGACCAGCTTATTTAGAGGAAATAGAAACAAACCCAGGAAGACTGCAAGGAGTTTTCTTTGAGCAGCGTGTGAGAGTTGCCTGAGGGGGAGATGTTAGCATTGTTGGTGTTCAAGATATTTAGGCAAAACAAACAGTAGCTAAGTGCCACAATAATAGTAATAACTGTTGGGTTATTACTGAATACTGGTGTGATGATCACGTACTTTACCCTCGTGTATGGTAGCAAACACTGGATTTGCTGTTATTTGTTTTGGGAAAATAAATAAGCTAAAAGGCAGAGTTTTGGCCTCCACACTATATAAAAAAAGCTAGGATTTAGTAGAGGTCAGAAAAAATACAAACATAAGTAACAACTACCTAAGTAAAATGGATGTTCTTGCTTTGAGTAAGCATTTGATTTTAAACTTAAATTGATGTTGTTTCCAACGGTATGCCAAATAGCTGTGAAATTATTATATAGGAAGTGGATTAAAGGTAAGTTAAGAGTTGATGCTACTCTGCTTTAAAAAAAAAAAGAATGAATTATATTTGTCATTGTTATGGTGAAATACATTGAAGCATTCTGAATGGAGAGTTGTTATCCTTGCAGGTTTGTTGTTTGTTTTTTTGTTTTTTTTTTCAGAAGCTTCTTAGTTTTCTATTTAGAAATATTTTGTTGGGTTATTTATCGTCAATTTTATGTTCTACATCACAGAGTATTCTTTCTTAATAATTCTTAATTATTATTGGCTAGTTATGCCATGGAAAACAAAAACATAATTGATAAGTTGTCATCTGTTTGGGCATTCTACAGAAACATCTGCCTTTGTGGTCAGCATGGCACTGTATTTTAAAGAAAAAGCTTTGTGAGAAGAAATCACCCAAATGAAGTGAAGCAGTCCTTCAGTCTGATTTGTGATGTCTTGCATATTTTGATAGAACATGATATAAGTGAAGCAAGCTAGTTAGCTTGCTTGCAGTGGATGTTTGCCCAAATTACTAACGTTACAGCACTAGAGAAGGGAGTGTAAGCTGTTTGATAAAAACTGAACATGATACCATGAAGATTATCCATATAGTGTAAGTGCATCCACTAGGGTTTTGGTTGAATGTGTGCTGTCCCCTCAATACAGAAAGTTTGTATGGTTGAAAATTTGCTTAGGGTTTTTTTTTTTTTATTTCCTCTCTTAGTAAAGACAGCAGTCTGTGTTGCTTTGAAGTGGACGGGTCACTAATAGTTTGGTCCTGATTAGGTTGCCCTAGGTAATGCTGCCCATGATGCTGTCCTGATATCACAAACCTGCCCAGCTTTCAGTTCCACATATGTCCCGTATCCTATCTGCCAGTCCCATGCAGATGTGACTAGTATCCTAGCACATCTGGATTGGCAAGACATTTACATGGCGGCTGCTGGGTCAAACTCTTTCTTTCTTCCTTGAACTCGAGGAGAAAGTGGGAAATTTTTGCCATTTTGTCATTTAAGGGGAAAAAGTGAAGGAGCTCATTTTGCAGAAAGGAAGTAGTATGTAATTTAGCAACAAACCTTATCATAGGATATTGTAGCAGAGAAAGCTTGGCTCTTGAAGCTTTAGGCAATATAATATGTTTTGATTGCAGTATGCGCTGAAAGAGAGTCCTGATTAAGCTTTTAAGAGTAATGATGTTTCTAATGTCAGTACAATACCTGATTACCAGTATCTTTACAAAAAAAAAAAAAGTTATTGCTGATAGATAGCTTCATAGCTATAGAAGGCATGTAATTATTTCATCATGATAGTTATTTGTTTGATTCCAGGAAGCAGAAAAAAGAAAGCAACAAAGAGAAGCAGCTCAACGATTGTACAAGCAAAAGAAAATGGAAGCTTATAAAATACTGAGTAAGAAGACAAAAAAAGGACAGCCAAATCTAAACTTACAAGTGGAGTTTCTTCTTCAGAAAATACAGCAAAATACATAGACTTCTGCGTACAACTTAATTACAGGTTTTTTGAGTTAGCTATGGACATTTTGTTAAATGAATTTTAATAAATAATGTCTTTTTACTTCTATGTGACTTTTGTCATTGGCTTGATTTATCTCATCAGAGTGAGAGAGATCTGGTACCTTGAAAATAAATGGTCAGTATTTCTAAACTTAAATTCTGTTAGTTATGTAATATCCTGATTTCCAAATCACTAGAGCCTACTGCCATCTGAACGTAAATCTGCATTGTATAAAGCATTTGATTTCTATCTCAAACACTACCTGCAATTGTGACTACTAAAATATGGCATGTGACATAACTGATATCTCATGAACTGCCAAGGCTAGGAGTGTGTTTTGTGTGCTGTGGGGTAGGGTTTGGCACATGAAAACAAAGAACATAAACTATACTTGGATGGGTATTATTTATCGTTCTCCACAAAAAATCAAACTTACCAAAGGTCCAGAAATGGTTTGAATGTAAAGATGTTGTAGACTTAACATATACTTTGTGCTTGGTGATTTATACTTTTGTGATTTATTCTGTCCATAAACTAAGTATGACTTTCTAGCTACCATGGGTCAGGTAGGTGGGTTGATGTTTTGGTATCCTGAGTATATGAAGTTTCTAATTTTTGTACTTTGGAACTTCTTTAGAAAAAGAATTTTTTAAAATCTTGATTCGGAGATACAATTAGTGATCTTTGGCATAAAATGAAAGCATTCTTAGTAAGACTAATAAGTTTGCAATAAAGCAAGTTAACTGTTTCTCTTAAGTTTGTACAGGGGAATACTATTGTACTTTTGCCTTTCTCTCAGTCTACTTTGGCAGCCAAGAAATAGTACTGATGTTTGTTCTGCATACAATAAAAGCTACTCAGACAGAAAAGCAAGGAATGTTTTAGAATAGATTCTCCAAAGTGGTCTGTAAGATTTGCAATACATTTACAGTATTACAATTTTAAATTATTTACAGTATTATCTCATTTAGAAGTTGATATCAACTGCAAAAAAAATGCCTTATTTAAAATTCATGGGGAAAATAAATAGTTTTGAATTGTATGAAAAGCACCATTGAAGGAGGAGTAGTTGAGGAGTTTGAGTTGGCTAAAATGTTTCTTGTGTCAGTATCCTGAGGCTTTTTCCTCTTCATCTTGTTATATCTTTTGGAAGGCTTTAAATCCTTGTGCTGTGATGTCATTTAGGAAAAGCTGAACGCAAGTCATAAGGTAGTGTGCCAACAGAAAATGTGGGATCTTTTCTTGAAATGGGTATGTCCGTTCTAGGAGAGAAAGGGAGTGCGAGTTTGACATCCTTATTTTGTTTCATACTTTTCCTTCTATGGCTTTTTTTTCTGATGATTGCTGCAATTGCCAATTTTGAAAGGCTCCGTGCTGAAACTTTGAAAACCTAAAGTCTGCAAAGTGTCAGGAAGGTGGGAAGGCAAGTTTTGGCATACACAGTCTGTTTCAATTCTTCTCATTCTGGGCTTTTATTTTAAAAAATGAAAACCACAATATTGCAATTATTAGGGATTTTGCCAGAATTGCAAAACGCTTAAAACATTAGCTTCATGTAACTTGTGAATAACATCTTTCATGTAAATTCATGGTTGAAGGGCTTCCATTTTTTGTTTGCATGTGTCTGTTACCCTGTATGATCTTTTATCATTCTTTGGGTAAGGAATGTTAAACACGAGTGTTCTGAATTGACATCTTCCCAGTTTGCCATCGGTTCACTTATGAGCCTAATTTGGTGGATGTTTGCCATGATGTCAGCTGTCTGGAAAGATTTCAGAAAACCGTAAGTCTTAGACCAGTAATTCCATTTGTCAATGGCCATTCTGGATTACTGGTATTGCTGTAGATACTGGTATATATTTTAAATACCAGTACATTTTTTATCTGGTGTTTATCTGTAAAGCATCTGGATAAAGTTTGAATGATGCATTTGAAATCCAGATTTTCTTCTCTTGTGTTAAACTGAGTGAAAACTTTACTGTCAAAATATTCTGTATGCTTGATTCTTCCTGGATAAAAGGGTAGGTAATATGAGCTAGTAGATTTTCTTTTTTTTAGGACTTGTGATATAATTTTCCTCTGTAAGTTGTTTTGCAAGTGGACTTAGTTCACTCAAGTCATTTAATGGCTTCATATAATTCCTCCTTAGCAATAAAAAGTTTCAGCTGTTGATAATTCTGCTCTGAAAAGAAATATCAATTTTTTTTATTGGTGTTATTTTGTGTTTTTGTTTAAGAATTTGAATTTTGAGAGAAATTAAGGATTCATATTATCCATTCTGTAGTATTGGTCATTAAAATTAATTCTTACCTCATTCTGACTTTAATTGTTGCCCTTTTTAGTTGTTTTTTTTTTTATTCAGTGATCTTGCTGATAATTAATATGAAAAAGAACAGATTTATCTGATTTTCCTGAAGAGGCGCCTGAAAATGCCTCCCTCTTCCTTAGTGCTTCAAATAATCTGATCAGGCGGAGCACTTAGTCGAAAACCAGTGCAGTATCTGACCTTAGCCCCATCATTGCTAGTTTCGAGGAGGAGAGGGAGTTTCTGTCATTTTTTCCCCATCACTTTCTCTCCTTTGTAGCTTTATTTGATTTGGAGATAAAAAGGGGCTATGAGTAAGTCCAGCTTCTCACAGACTCTCATACAAGAGACCTTTTCGCACCAGAAGTTAATTCTTGATACAACAGTTCTAAAAATAAGTTAAAATCATGGATTTCCTCACACCGTATTTTGCAGATTACCATGAAGGATGATAGCCATGAGAAGCAGGTGCAGTCCAGTGTCTCAGCTGTTTCCTGAGCCCGCTCTCCTGCACTGTCAAGCCTCTTAAATTAATTCAGCAGCACTGGAAGGCAGTGATACAGCAGTCGTGATGCTCAAGGTCATACAGGCAGAGTAGGGAATTGAACCTTTGCTTTCATTTACAGAGTAGCACTGTAACAAATGGCCCATCATCTTTTTATGAAGAAAAGTATGGAGAATGGAGGGAAGGAATGTTTTGAGGAAGGAAATAAAGATTTGATAACTTTTTTTGATCTGGTGATCACTAGGAAAATAGTCCAATAGGAATTATATGGGTTTATGGAGGCTGCCTGTAAAAGCTGCTGCATTTAACTGGGTCTTAATTTGAAATGTGTGAGAAGGTAGTCCAATGGGATACTAAATCCTTAGCACAGGCACAAGTGATTTCTGTTTGAAAGTGTGATCCACCTAAATACCAAGAAGTGGCCCCTACTTTTACTGTTTTTTATTCAACTTTGCTGTGAAAGTGAAGATGTTGAAATGTGAAAAAGAGGAGCATTAAGTCCTGTAGCCATTCTTTTTTTTTTTTTTTTATATTCATACACTCATCTTCTGTCTTGTCTAGTAGTTTGTTTTCTGTTCTCTGAAAGCCTACAGATCTCAAGTAGTTATGTCTTTCCAGTACATCTTATGAGTGAGATGAAGTTGGAGAGGTAAGGCTGCACATTTTGAAATTTTATTCTTTAATTTGGATGTTCAGTGAATGCAGGCAACTTCAGACGTCTCTTTTCCTTTCATTATAGACTGGTGAAGGTGTGAATCAGAAAAAATGGGAGTCAAGAAAGCATCAGGTACAATACATTAATTTTCTCTTTTTGGTTCTGAGGAACATAATGTGAAGCTTCCCTTGCTCCTTTTGCAGGTAACTTCTTGGGAAATCGTAATAGTGATTTAAATGGATCATCTTATTAAGCTGGCTTTGACAGTACAAGGACTTTCGCACCCTATACCCTTCTCAAAAGAATTTTTATCCACTGCCACTAATAGGAAAAACAAAACAAAAACTTTCCGTTAAGATACTAAGGCTTTGGAAATATGAGATGATGTAGACTTTTATCTTCGCAGTCTAATAAATTGTGCCTACACTAAGAATTAGGTAAAAAACATTAAGTTAAAAACCTGATTGTAATCTTAAAACCAGTGCTTGGGTTTTGGAGGTAGTGTCTATTTCTGCTTTCAGAAAGTAATGTTTTAAACTCATTAATCAAAGAATTTAGAAGTAGTTCTAGATAGATTAATAGAAGTGTTGTGAGCATCAGAAAAATGGAAAGGCACTTCATTTGATGAAATCAGTGAGGACAGAACAGAGCTCTGAAATACTAATTTTCAGTAGAATTTTTCTTAACAGATGCATGACTTCTGGAAATTGCTGAGTGGGTAGTTAATTATGAACTGAGAACCATACAGCGAACTTGCTGGCTTTCCTCTAGAGAAAGCCTTTATGGGATGTGAAAAAGAAAAAAAGTCTAAAGTAGTTCAGTCTGAACTCTTGGTAAAATAATTGTTGGTCCATTTATAAAAATTCTGTGTAACTGGACCTACAACGTGCCCATTGTTCTATCTTTTGTGAACAGCTTTGTCATGAACTTTATTGTCCTTTATGTAGTTTTTAATTAATAACAATTTGGTTCATTATTTTCGAGGCTGGATTGATTTATTTTCCCAAAAGAGAGATTATACCCACATGTGTATCTATTTTTTTAATATCTTGATACCAACCCAGTTGAGGAAACACATATGTTTGTTTAGAAACCACATTTGGGGATCCTACTTTGCAAATTAAAAAAATAAAATAAACATTATAAAAATAAACTAAGCCTAATGTTTTACTAACCTACTTGATCCACACTTACTAGATAATGTTTTAAGTGGTATATAGATTTAAATTATCAATATGCAAAAATTGCATATTGAATGCTGAGTTTGATTTTTTTTCTTCTAACTGCCATGAGACAATTTTTGTTACAAAACCCTGAGTGCTAAAAGCAGAAAGACTTTCCCTAAGAAGAGCCTCTGGTTTCTGCTCACGGCAGGCACTCTCGTGCTGGAATCCAGGATCTGCAGATTAAATGTTTACAACTCTGCTGCACCCATCTGCTTATGGGCCATCAGAGTAGGCTGAAGTCCCCACTGATGTGCTCCTCTCTGCATAAATGCTGTTTTTTGGAA